CTGAGAAAACGGTATGAATTATATAAACTATTATATTGACAAATCTGTTTCTAACATTACCAAAAACGTTTACAGATTGGACGATATAACCTTCAGAAGGAGCCACAACTATAAATCTCGAGATTTTTCTATTCATAAGTTACCATATCGACATAATATAACTAAGAAGTATGAAGATACTTCCTCTATACATTTACAAGAAAGTGAAACCGAAGAAACTGAATCTTATCAAATTCAATTCTGTCACGACGAATATAAAAGTAAAAAACCACAGAACAAAGTTCATCGGATGCCTACCGTATTTGGGGAAAGATTGTATAAGAGAATTATAGAAGATAAAAAAGAAGAGGAAAATCAGACAGAATTAATAAATTTGCTTGCTGCAAATATTAAAACAAAGGATATTTCTAAGGAAAATATTATTGAAAATGATAAGAAGGCTGGATCTCCATTTGGTATGAATAACAACGACAATGACTCTAATATCGGACGATGTTCTAGTTCAGGTAGATTAAAGATATATTTACTTTTTATATAATTATTATATGTATCACGTAAGCTTACATAGAATCATAAAACAGTTTTTAATTTCTATATATTTTTCTATCTAATAGAAGAATTTTTTTATATCTTTATATTAAACACTATTAAGTGAACATTTATATTAAAATTTATATCGTGCGTATTAAATATTTGTTACTATTTATCTGTATCTTGAAGAAAATGTATAAGAAGTTTGGAATATCTTATCCTAAAATATCTTAATCTAAGAATTTTAGAATATATGTAAAATATCTTAATCATATATAGACTTTATTTAGAGACAGTTGAGTAATAAACTTGTTAGTTTGAAAATTGTAATTACATCAGAAAGTAATCTTGTTACAGAACCTTCGTACAGAAAGAATTTGATGAAAAGGACGAATGAAGAAGACAATACAAGTAGACACAAGCGTATAAAAATTGAAAAAAATGAAGAGGAAACCATAACCAAAGAAACAAATTACAATTATCTTACGCAGTATGATCTAACAGACAATTTTACGCAATATGATATGAAAGATAATCTCAAATTTGAAGATCAATTGGATGTAGTGCATTCTTTTAAAAAAGAAGAAGTTTCAGTATGCGATGAACGTAGAGCTGCTTCAGAATATCGAGACACCAAAGAGAATCGAAGTTGTACAAACGGACGGAGAAGCGAGACTAGAAGTAAATCAGCAAAAGATCATGACAGTTCGTACATCAAAAATAGTCACGCCCATAGTTTACGAAATTTTCGGACTTCAGCTTCACACACAACTCGTGTCTCAGAAAGATTTGACAGTGATTACAGGAAAAATGGGCACAGGTATAGTCCGCCAAGAAGAAGAAGCTACTCTAGAAGCAGGAGTGATTACGAGAGTTCGAGCAGTCATCGTTTACGTGAAAAATCCAGTAGAACATATAGAGAAGCAAAGTATGATAATTATAAATATGATAGTCGATATAGATATGACAGATTAAAAAGGAACTGCGGGAATGAAGAAGATGATAGGAAAACGAGATATAGGCGTGAAAAATATGATGATGTAAGGGATAAATATAGATATTCATCGAGCGACGCTGAAGACAAAGAAAGTAATAGCTCATACAAGAATAAGAAGCACGAAAATCGCAGAACAAGAAAGGAAAAGGCAAGCATTTTAGATGATAAAAAATTACTCTGCAATGATAAAGTGGAAACTAATTTACGAGAGTCTTCTAGTCGAACAATTGTAAATAATACAATGAATTTCAGTGTTGGTAAAAATGTTGAACAGCATAAAGTGAAAAATGAATCAGAAATTAAATTGAAGGATTTTTCAGAAGTCATACCCATACATATCGTAAAGAAAGACTTGGAACATGTACCGGAAGAAGGCGAAATTTTAGATAGTCCTAAAAAGAAAGATAAGTTTACAAAAATCTCCGCAGAGAATAGAAGGGAAAAAAGTAATGTAAAAATTGTTCCAGTTGAAGATAAAAATGAAGATATTTCTGTGAATTCATCCATAGATAATAAATTAATATCGCTTCAAAATGATACAAAACAGTTAGAAGTGGCGGATATTAGTACAAAAAAAATTGAAGTACCGTCACGTCTTGTACAAGAAAATTCGAAAGATTGCGAAGAAATAATTCAATCAAATCTTTGTAAAAATCATGTGGTAGCTGATAAAATAAATAATTGTATAAAAGACAAAGATAAATGTAAATTTCTTAATAAAAATTTAATGGAGCCTATTGTTCAGAATATCGGAATAACTGAACAAGTGCGCGATAGTGATATTGACAATAGTGACAAAAATAATACTAATAACTCAAAGGATTCTATTACTGAAATTATTAAAATCAAAGAAACGATTGATTTTAATATTGATAGCGTTACTAAAATCAAAGAGATAGATGATTCTAGCATAGAAGGTGCTTCTAAAAAGGATATTAACAATCTTAATATTGGAAGTGTCGTTGAAATCACAGAAATGAACAATTTTAATAATAGTGATAGTATTCATAAAATTGGTGATGAATTAAGAATTTCTACTGCTGAAGTTACAAAAGTGGAGGCTATGCTTAATTGTGATATTGAGGATAGAGATAAAAGTCAAGCATCACTTGAAAGGGAGACTTTTCATCAAATGTCAAATAAAAGCGTCATCAAAACATGCCTCAATGATCATAATTATGTTCAGAATTCTTCTATCAATGTCTCTAATCTCGATGCAATCCAAAAGCCATCTTTGAGATCAGAACGCAATACAGCTATTTTGGATACAGCAACTTCGAAGGAAACGAAAGTTGAAACAATCAACGTTCAATCGGCTGGTGTTAAGAAGACAATATCTATAGTGAAGAATAAAAAGGACCAACAAAGCAGAGGAATATTAATTTCACATCGTCGAAAAGCCGTGATACTGAGCGACAGTAATGCATCTATGACCGTCCTGATGAATACAGTGAAAACGTCCTCTGTTACCAATAGTTGTAACAACAATGATTCTACTTTAAAACCGCGTGCCTGTAAAATATCGCGAATGACTGCAAAAGCAACTTGTAAATAATTATTGTACATTTCCTACACTTATAAGGAATATCAATAAAGCTCGATTTATAAACAAGAAATAAAAAATGGAAGTAGTTGAACGTTCAAAATGGTAGGATATTTTTTAATTAGTTTCTTATCAAGGGGGGAATCTCTTTTTTGGGTAAAAAAAATCTTTTTTTTTGCAAAATCTGTTAGTCTAATATTTTCAGAATATCTCTGTAAAATTTTGTATCAAAATTCATAAAACTTCTAGAGATATGAGCTACCGACCGAGCGCCCGACAGACCGAGCACCCAACCGAGCACATGGCTGAGCGCATGTATAAGATTTTTAACGGTTGGCAGCTGCTCCGGTTTTGTTTTCAGTACAAGGGTCAGGTCAAGTAAGGGCCTGAGCACAATAGAGGAACAGGAATTAGATATTAAGATTTTAACCTATCAGAA